CCTGCTGCGGTTCGAGGCAGGGATAGCCGAGTGGTTAAGAGGTTAGACTCATGTCTGCACCTCTGGAAAACCGCGAGTTCGATCCCTGCCGAGGCTCTAAACCATGCCTTGCAAAAATTGCAAAAATGGTTCTAGTACCAGCGTCAGGCCCAGGTTGACAGGCCGGCTGATGAACACCCCAGTCACACACAAACATGTCTAAAGTCGAAAAAAGAATCAGTGATAAAGCTAGGACGTCACCCGGAAGTGGCGCGCAGAACCCCCGCCCGAGTTCTGTGGTCAGTATGCGAGCGAGGCTCGAGGTGAACGGCCTCGGGGCCTCGGCCAAAGAAGCTAGTTCGAAAAATAGGTTTGAACGTAGGATCGCTAACTGGGAAGTCCCGAGAGGTTGCTGATCTGATGACGCGCAGGAATATCCAAGTCCTATGCCTTCAGGAGACGCGATGGAAAGGTGCTAAGGCCAGGGAAATCGGGGAAGGTGTCAAGCTCTACTACAATGGAGAAGACACCAAGCGGAACGGTGTGGCCATAGCGGTAGCGGAGTCGCTCAAGGACTATGTCTCCGCTGTGAACAGGATCAGCGATCGGATCATGGCTGTGAGGATAGACACGAAGGAGGGGTACTGGACAATACTCTCCGTGTACGCGCCGCAGACAGGATGCCCCGACAGTGAGAAAGACGAGTTCTACCTGAGCCTGGACGAAGCCATAAGAACGATTCCGGAAGGCGATTACCTGACCGTAGCAGGTGATCTGAATGGCCACGTCGGCAGTGACAGGAGAGGCCGGGAAAGGGTGCACGGAGGTAGAGGGATAGGAGTGAGGAACGCCGAGGGAGAGAGGGTCCTGGACCTGGCTACGGCCCACGATCTGGCAATCTGCAGCACGTTCTTCGCGAAAAGGGAGACTCAGAAGGTGACCTACAGCAGTGGGGGACGACATACGGAAATCGACCATGTGCTCGTAAGAAGATCATCCCTGAGATCGGTAAAAGACATCAAGGTACTCCCTGGCGAGGAATTGGCTCCGCAGCACAGGCCCCTCCTGGCAGACATTGCCATGGACCTCCCGAAGAAGACAAGGGTTAGAACCGAGCGGAGAATCCGGTGGTGGAAGTTGCACCAAGCGGAGAAAGATGACCTCAAACGAAGGATAATGGAAGTTGGTCTACCAAATCCTAACGGGCCAATACAGCGAACATGGAGCAAGACGGCTGAGACCATCCTGCGATGTGCCAAGGAGGTACTGGGCGAGACCCGAGGTGGATCAGAGGAGACAAGGCAGCGTGGTTCTGGAACGAGGAAGTCCAGCGAGTCGTGAAGCAGAAGAAGGAAGCATACAAGCGCTGGCAGAAGACCCGGAGCCCCGAAGACCTCGCTACCTACAGGAGTTGCAAGAGGCTCGCTAAGGCGCCGTAGCCAAGGCGAAGAACACGGAGATGGACGCCTTGTACGAGAAGTTGGAAAGCAGAAACGCAGAGAAGTTCGTCTTCAGACTGGCCAAGGCCCGGCATCGTGCTACCCAAGACATCAGGGTGGTGAAAAGTGTGAAAGGCAGAGATGGTGTCATCCTAAGGAAGCCAGCCGAAGTCAAGAGGAGGTGGGAAGAGTACTACAGTGCACTTCTGAACGAGGAGTTCCCCCACGAGAACAACTCACGGGCAGAGGCCACAGCTGGTCCCATCGCACTCTGGACTGAGGATGAGGTTAGGTGTGCACTTGGGAGGATGAAGATTGGGAAGGCCGGGTTGGTCCAGATGGGGTGCCAATTGAGGCATGGAAGGCGCTGGGTGACTACGGGATAAGGATGGCTCACACGATTCCTCAACAACATAACTGCGGAAGGAAGGATGCCAGATGCCTGGAGAACAAGCACTATCGTCCCCATCTTCAAGCAGAAGGGTGACGCGATGGACTGCTCCAACTACCGCGGGATCAAGTTGACTGCTCATACAATGAAGCTGTACGAGCGACTGGTCGATTCGAGACTGCGGGAGCTGGTCCCCATCTCCCAGGAACAGTTCGGGTTCATGCCCGAAAGGTCTACAACGGATGCCATCTTCATCGCAAGGCAAGTGATGGAGAAGTATCGAGAAAAGCGCCGACCCTGCTACCTAGCCTTCCTCGACCTGGAGAAGGCGTTCGACCGGCTACCACGAGCGGTACTATGGAGAGCGCTTAGGGAACGGAACGTGCCAGAACACCTGGTCTCGCTGGTGAAGGATATGTACGATGGGGCGAAGGCAGCTATACGCACCCCACACGGCCTAACGAAGGAAGTGGACATCACGGTTGGGGTGCACCAAGGGTCGGCTCTGAGCCCGTTCCTCTTCCTCCTGACACTAGATGTCCTGGTGAAAGGGCTCATGGAAGGACCGCTAAAGACCATCCTCTACGCAGACGACATCGCCCTGATAGCGGATAGTAGAGAGGAACTACAGGCCAAGGTGCAGCAATGGCAGAAGGTCCTGGCAGAAGGCGGACTACGGCTGAATGTCAAGAAGACCAAGTTCCTGAGTTCTGAAGAGGGTGCAGAGCCGATCATGGACGGGCATGGTGAAAGCATCGAAAGAGTGGAGGACTTCCGATACCTTGGGAAGTGATCTGGCGGCCGACGGCAGTGTGGACCAGGCAGTAAGGGGAGGATCAACGCGGCATGGATGAAATGGAGGGAGTCCACTGGAATCCTCTGCGATCCGAAGGTGCTCCAGAGCGCTCAAAGGGAAGGTGTACCGAACAGTGGTAAGGCCTGCGATGCTCTACGGCAGCGAGTGCTGGCCCCTGAACAAGAATCACGAAAGGCAGCTTCACTCCGCTGATGAGGATGCTGAGTGGGCCTGCGGCTGGACGCGACTGGACAGGGTCAGGAACGAGGATGTCAGAGCGGTCATGCAGACTGCCCCTGTCCAGCTGAAGGTGAGGGAGCAACGACTGCGGTGGTATGGACATGTGCTGAGAAGACCGCAAGGCCACCCGATAAGGAATGCGATGGACTTCGAAGTGCAAGGCAAGCGACCGCGAGGAGCCCCAAAGAAGAGGTGGAAGGATGTGATCAAGAAGGACCTAGGTGAAATCACGGCCACTGCAGGAGATGCCCTAGACAGAGCGAAGTGGCGACGACTGACAAAGACAGCGGACCCTGCGACTGCGCGGGACTAACGCTAGGGAGAAGAAGAAGAAGAAGAAGGTGATCGTTACCTCATTCTTTTTTTTTTCGTTTTGCATGTGATACACGCAATTTTTGCTGTAGTGTCACTGTTTAAAAGGGTGAGGGGGGGGCGAGGGGGAGGGTCCAATACAGGGTGCTAACTTAGTTGGGGGGGGGGGGCACACGGCGGCGCCGCAGCCGCCCAATCCAGCCTGGGCTCTCTTCGAACGAGATAGTGTAAACTCGAACATTCCAGCTTTTCACGCATGTCAAGTGACTGCCCTCACCCCCCACCCCCCTAGACTGGCTACACTCCCCCTGGCCCACGGATTTCCGAAGATGCCAGGCGAGCAGACTGCCGCGCCGGAAAACCGCGTACGAGGTAAGCAAACCAGCCCTTTTGGCGTTTCGGCTGGGACCGTATGCTGAATGTTGGGGAGGGGATGGGGTCCCCAACGGTCGACGGTTTACTTCAACTCGGTTGGTACGATAGGAGAGTACTGACGCAAGTGGTGCAGCT